AAGACGTTCATACTGACTATAATCTGGACGTCTGGTGACATCCAGAGACAGTCCATAAATGACGTGAATAAAGATGTCCAATCTGGCCATAATCTAAACGTCCACTGACAGCCAGAACTAGTTGAGAAAAGACGTTCATACTGACTATAATCTGGACGTCTGGTGACATCCAGAGACAGTCCATAAATGACGTGAATAAAGATGTCCAATCTGGCCATAATCTAAACGTCCACTGACAGCCAGAACTAGTTGAGAAAAGACGTTCATACTGACTATAATCTGGACGTCCGGTGACAACCAGAATTAGTCCATAAATGACGTGAATAAAGATGTCCAATCTGGCCATAATCTAAACGTCCACTGACAGCCAGAACTAGTTGAGAAAAGACGTTCATACTGACTATAATCTGGACGTCTGGTGACATCCAGAGACAGTCCATAAATGACGTGAATAAAGATGTCCAATCTGGCCATAATCTAAACGTCCACTGACAGCCAGAACTAGTTGAGAAAAGACGTTCATACTGACTATAATCTGGACGTCTGGTGACATCCAGAGACAGTCCATAAATGACGTGAATAAAGATGTCCAATCTGGCCATAATCTAAACGTCCACTGACAGCCAGAACTAGTTGAGAAAAGACGTTCATACTGACTATAATCTGGACGTCCGGTGACAACCAGAATTAGTCAATGAATGACGTGAATAAAGATGTCCAATCTGGCCATAATCTAAACGTCCACTGACAGCCAGAACTAGTTGAGAAAAGACGTTGATACTGGCTATAACAGTTAACAGTTAACATCCAGATTTTGTCAATAAATGACAGAAAATATGTTTAGGCCACAAAAATGTCCACAAATCAAAAAAAGATGTTCACAATGCGGATATAGCCAGAAATGACAGAAAAAAAAAGAAAAAGAAAAAAGAGACAGCATGGCTAAAGACTATTTTTTTTATAAATGATTGTAAGAAAACTACAACAAAACACAAAAACATTAACAACCATCATCACAACATTACCACATTAGAGTCCCTCAGTCCAGACTAATTTAAGTCTTTCAATCCAGATTAAGTGCAAGTCTTACACAGCCACTGTTCTTATAGCTTTTCAGTTTTTAGATAACTCAATAGACTCATTTTCATTTAATGTTTAAATCTTATTGCATTTAAAAAATTTACATTTGTGAACGTGAAATTTAAATAACAGAAAAAGCAAGGTTTATAAAATAAATATCACTTATTCACATGAAAACTAAAATTATTTCTATATGTAAATCCAAAGTTAGGATTCACATAACATTTGATAAAATCACAAATGTCACACCAAAATGTCACTGTGAAAGAGCAGTTCCAAAATAAGTCTCATGTTTTTCTGAACAGAAAGAGTATGTCATTCTTAAGTCTTTTGAGAGAGCACTTAGTAAAACCTATGAATTAACTTAAATTCTCTAATTTTGTTGGTAGCCTAATGTCCAAGCTTTTTTTCCACGGAATGATCAGTTCAGACTCAATTAAACGGATCAATTGACAGACTCCTCCCAAAACAAGACTATAAATTTCTTATTGTTTTTTAATTTAGATGAAGAATGCCACTGAGCAACAAAGAGATGAAAAAGGTTGCTATATGGCTATTGGGGACAAAGGCAGACGGTGACACTTCTTCCAGTCCATATGGAATATCGAAAGTTTTATATAAAATTATATTTATTCTAGAAAAAATTTATTAATTATCTTTTTTTTCTGTCTGTTTGAGGGTGATGGGTAGGCTATTTCATAAATGGGCCTTTGAAGGCCATGGTTCCAAAATATCATGTTCCAAGCTGACCAACTTGACCTCAGCAAATGTGTAAATAAAATCAATTTCACCCATATACTCTATTTGTCCAATTTTTTATAGGCTATATTTTGTTGTTATTTGTTATTTATTTATTATGTGTATGCTGTTTAGTAAAATTATATTAAAAAGTAATATATGCATATTTTTCAGATAATAGTGTTTGTTTTTTCTCTCGGTTTTTTTTTTTCTGGTGAAAAAGGCGGTTATTAGGTACTCTTTCCGGATTCAAGTAGATTGTGATATACCTCCCCTGTAGAAACACAGTTCTACCTTAGTGTTAATAAATAACAGGGACGGTCAACTTTTTTTAACTTTTATAACACGATACTGAGATTTTTTATATTGATCAAATATGCTCGGAATACAGAGTTTCCAGTTCTGTGGCGGACGGATATGTGACTGCAGTCCGGTCCGCGCAGCAGTCTCTGGCTCTCCGCAGTCCGCACCTTAACTGTCTGAAGGCTGTCTTCGTCTCGTGTCGCTGTCTCGCATTTGACTATCAAGGACTTGTAAGTATGTTGTAATATTGGTAATAATATAGTGAGTGATTCCCGAAATGTTATCATAAAATCTTTTTCGATAGTCGCAGTTGCTCCAGTCAAGTCATCAATCAAATGTGTTTTCCTCTAAATGGACGTGCTAGCTAATCAACTACTTAAGCTAGCTTAGTTTGCGCCAATCAGCCTCAAACCGGACTTTCTATGGCAAGCCGTTTTAACACTAATTTAAACCGACTAAGTTAGTATTTTAATACTAACGTTACTTATTTTTTAGATACTATTCCATTAATTACTAGTACTTATTCATTAGCAACTATATGCTTATTCTTTAGCTAACTTACTAGTCAGAACACAGTTCAATTAAAAATGTAAAATAAATAATCTTGCTAGTAATATTTGGAATAAGTTACTAGTATCTAATATAAAGGTACTAGTATTGAATAAGTACTAGTAGTAGCAAGTTAATAAGTACTAGTATCTAATTAATTGATAGTACTAGAAATAAGTAGTATCTTTTGAACAAGTACTAGTATCTATTGAATAAGTACTAGGCTATTGAATAAGTGTCTAAGGAATAAGTACTAGTATCTATTGAATAAGTACTAGGCTAGTGTCTAATGAATAAGTAGAGTCTATTGAATAAGTAATGAACAACTACTAGAGTCTATTGAATTAGTAATGAATAAGTACTAGAGTCTATTGAATAAGTACTAGTGTCTAAGGAATAAGTACTAGAGTCTAATGAATAAGTACTAGTATCTATTGAATAAGTACCAGTGTCTAATGAATAATTACTTGTGTCTAATGAATAAGTACTAGGCTAGTGTCTAATGAATAAGTACTAGAGTCTAATGAATAATTACTACTATCTAATAATAAGTACTAGTATCTATTGAATAAGTACCAGTGTCTGATGAATAATTACTGTGTCTAATGAATAAGTACTAGTGTCTAATGAATAAGTACTAGTGCCTAATGAATAATTACTACTATCTAATAATAAGTACTAGTATCTAGTGAAATGAGACCCATGCTAATTAATTCACCCCTTTCCTCTCTCTTTTATGTTCTGTGGCCAGGATCTCTCATTCATCAGTGCAGCTACCAAGAATAGTGAGTATTTGTCCTCTACCTCCTTTGTCTCAGTGTTATTTCAACACAATTGGTCTCCAAAGTCAGATATATAATGTGTGTGTGTATATATATATATATATAATTAGAGGTGTAACGGTTCACAAAATGCACGGTACAGTTCAATACGATACACTTATGTAACGATTCGGTTCGTTTTCGAAACAGCAAAAAGAAATAAATGGCAGATAAATTTCCTTGATTTTATTTTTTTCTATTCTTTTTTTTTTTAATTAAAACTAACATCATAAAGTATCAGGCGTGAGTTCCGCTTACATTAGGTTTTTCATTTGGTGTTGGGCAATGGTGTGTAGGGCTGGACGATATGGTATATCGACAATGTCTCGCAAGTACCGCGATGTCGATTATAACAGTCTGTTACAGACGATAATTGCCAATGTCAAAAAATACATATTTCACATAGCCCTATAGTTATAGCCTACACGTATTCACATGCAATAACATGAATGAAATATTTTTTATAGACTAGTTAACAGTGTTGGGGAAGCTACTCTGAAACTGTAGTTTGACCAGCTACAAGCTACTTGTAAGTTAAAGTAGTTAAACTACAGTCAAGCTACCCTTTTGGAAAAGTAGTTAGCTACACTACAAGTTACTATCAAAAAGTAGCTAGCTACATTGAAACTACTTTTGATTTTTTGAACAACGTATATATATTATAAATAACTGAATAAGTGTCTTATCGAATTATGATTTCAAAGAGTATTGTTTTATTACACACAACACTCAAATATCTCAGACTGTATGTCAAAAGTGCAAAATTGCAACAAATAGCCTACAAAATTGCAAGAACAAAATATACATCCAACATAAATTGCATCTAGAACATTTTCTCAAAAATACCGATTGAATTTGGACAAATAAGGCCATGGGTAATTAACGTTAGTTGTTTGTCCATCCTCCAAACTGCCGTCACGTCTTGCTCCATCATGGATAATCATAATATGGGTGTGTCAACCCACTTCTGTACGTCAGTGAACCGTTAGCCGCAAGATGCATGATTAAACAACAGGTGGCGGTAATTGCAAAAAAATTTTTGTAATCTAACAAGAAGAAGAATATCCTTGCATCGCGGTGATCGTGCTGATTCGCGCAGGCTTGACAAACACAATGTAGCTTTTGCTCCCACTACACCGCTACTTGATGCAAAAAGTAGTTAGCTACTGGAAAAGCTACACTGTTTAAAAAGCAACTGAGCTACTGCCAAGCTACTGAAAAATGTAGATAAGTTAGTAGCGTCGCTACTTGTAGTTAACTACTCCCCAACACTGCTAGTTAGTAGGACTAGGAATAGAAAATTGATTCTTCTTGATGGCATTCTTTAAGCGCAAGACATGAGAGAACGCGTCTGCATGCGCGCTGTTTTATGTGCTTGCACTTTCACAAAGCGTGACTCTCATATATTGCACAGACAAAATATTTTAATATTACTGGGTTTTGTTATGACACTTTTAATTTTGTGATGTTTTGTGATCTTTGTAATGGTTACAGATGGCTTATTTAAGAATGTGGAGAAAACGTAAAGCAGACATCAATGAACTTCTCCAGTCTGACGATAACAACGCGGTGACAATTGACAACGCAGTGACGACAAATGACAGAGAGGAAACAATCAATGATGATGGTGGAAGCAATGCTGATGAACACAGCACCAGTGTTACCACTGATGGTACAGACTTTGACACAGACACCGGAATGTGTGACTCTGATGTGGAGATTTTGAATCCCGAACCAGAGGTCGAAGTTAGAAACCTAGGCGATGACTTGCAAGAGTGGAGTACAAGACACCAAATTACTAATAGGTCCCTAAATGAATTATTGCAGATTCTAAGGGATCATGGACATGTACTCCCCAAAGATGCACGCACATTACTAGCCACTCCTCAAGTCATTGACAGCCATTCAAAATGCAATGGACAGTATATATACTATGGCTTGGAGGGGGGCATTTCCGTGTACTGTGTCAAAATGATGCTTTCAGACGTCAACACAGTACGGTCAGTTTGGATGTCAACATTGATGGACTACCAATCTTTAAAAGTAGTAAAGTCCAGTTCTGGCCAATACTTGTGACATTTAGCAATTTCAATCCATTTATTGTGGCATTATATTGCGGGGAACGCAAGCCTGAGCCCCTTGATGAGTATCTCCATGACTTTTTGGAGGAGTTCAATAATCTCCAACAGAATGGCCTGGTGTTTTGTGAGAAAAAGTATGCCATAAATATTCGTACCTTTATCTGTGATGCACCGGCAAGAGCATATTTAAAATGCATTAAAGGTCATACTGCATATGACAGTTGTGAGAGGTGCCAAGTGAAAGGCCAGTATGTCGAAAGAAGAGTTGTCTTTAATCAGCTGACATCCACCTTGCGCACAGATGAAGCATTTAGTCAGATAGAGTATTCCCGCCATCAAAATGGGTCTAGCCCTTTAATATCTGCCGGGATACCCTGTGTCAGTGCCTTTGTTTTAGACTATATGCATACGATTTGCTTGGGTGTTGTTAGGCGGCTGTTGGTGTATCTGACTAGAGGCCCAAAACTGTGTAGGCTCTCTGTGAGACAGAAAATTGAAATCTCACAAAAACTGAACGGGCTACAAGGCCAGATGCCCAGCGAGTTTGCGCGACAGCCCCGTGGCCTTCAGGAGTTGGACAGGTGGAAAGCCACAGAGTTCCGTCAGTTTCTTCTTTACACGGGACCCATAGTTCTCAAAAATACTGTCTCCTCACAGCTGTATGCTCATTTTGTGACATTGACCGTGGCAGTATCCATCATGTTGGACTCAGATGACAGGACAAGAGCTGCCTATTTGGATTTTTCTACTGAACTGATGAGGCACTTTGTCTCTAGCTGCCCTGCACTCTATGGAAAAACATTTTCTGTGTACAATGTGCATGCCCTGTTACACATCCATGAAGATGTCTCTCGTTTCAGGTGCTCTTTAAATGACATTTGTTGCTTTCCATATGAGAATTATTTGCAGCAGATCAAAAGATTGGTCAGGACTGGCCAAAATCCATTAGCGCAGGTGTCCAAACGCCTGGTCGAAATCGAACATGCCCAGGGAAATTCCAGTGCAGGGCCAAAAGCAAAGCCCCAAATGTACATTTCAACAAAAAGGAGAGACAGCTGCTTCCTTCTGGACGATGACAGGTTTGCTTTTGTTCAAGAGAGGAGGGGAGATGGGACGGTTGTTTGCGATGTGATAAAACAGAGACACACTGCCGCACTGTTTGACAAACCATGTTCGTCAAAGCTCTTGAACATTGCTTACATAGGGAATGGACATAGATTTCAAAGAAAAGAAGTCAAGGAAACAGACCTCGGACGAAAAGTAGCCTGTCTATCTTTCAACAATGGCTCTGTCATGATTCCTCTGCGGCATGGCATTGAACGTTCATGTTGAAGATTGGCAAGTCATAAAATGCATTGAGTATATACTGGGTATGTATATATGAAATGTGTATTTCTCAACTCAATCTAGAAACAAGCAACAACTAAATGCACTGTGTTTTCAAATTGAAATAATTTTTATTTATTTTTTAAAATATTGACATCTTTACATTACTGTAGGCTTGTTATTTGTCTTAATAGTACAACAGTAAAAAATAAATGTCATATTTACCTGTGCCCCTACTGTCTTAAGGCTGGACAGATACCAAACTGAATTCAGTTAACAAACAGTCTGCACTGCATAAATTATAAATGAAATATAGACTAATCCTTATTAAAGCTACAAAAGTTTTTTAGTCAAGAGCAGTCAGTAATTTTCTCTGTTTTCTTTGTACTTTGTTTCATAGTCTTTCTTGACATCGCGATTGTGATATATGTGATATATTTATATATATATATATAAACATTCATTTATTTATTATATTATTTTTTGTTGCAGGTTATGCTTTTCGTCAGAGCTGTGTGGAATGAAAATGGGAAGGAGATGGAGGGGACCATCCCTGATGCCTGGGTGAACGTTGCTGAAAAAACCCTTCGATGGCCAAAGACGAGGGCAAAATATTGTTTCGACAACCATGTGGCTCCGAAGGAGGATTGGGAAACTTTCCCATTGGTGAAAGTGAAATTTACCTCAGGTAACCTCTTATATTTTGATGCAATTCTGAGAAGTTATGTGATTATATAAGCTTTGATGACATGCATGCTGTCTTTGTAGAAAGTCTCCGTGAGTGTGAAGAACATGCACCAGCCATGCTGAACAATTAGAAGATGAAGATGAAGACGGAGAGGTTGTAGTGCAAAAGAGAAAATCTAAAACTTTTGAAGATTTTGTTGAAGGTATGTCCCCATCATTGATTGAATAGTGAAAACACGCAAACTCATGTTACAATTGACCCTTCGCAGGGAGCTTGATTAACAGGTGATCTGACCAATCATACTTCGCCATCTGCCTTTTTCTCCGACAAAGCAGTCAGGAGAGATAGTAGATTAACATGGGATGATTTGAACTTGAGAAACGGAGTGTACTGACGCCTTTCCGCGGTTAAAACAACATTCCTTCTGATGTTCATTCATTTTTATGCGAGAATGAGAGATGATCGATTCACGAGCAGCTTTAATTGATGCTCTACAGCAGGGGTGTCAAACTCAGTTCCTGGAGGGCCACAGCCCGGCAGAGTTTAGCTTCAACCCTAATTAAACACACCTGATCTGCTAATCAAGTCCTTCAGGCTTATTTGAAAACTGCCTGTGTTTGTGTGTTGAAGCAGTGTTAGAACTAAACTCTGTAGGGCTATGGCCCTCAAGGAACCGAGTTTGACACCCCTGCTCTACAGCGATCTGTCACGACACATTAAAGAGCCACAAAATGATAATTATTGTTTACATTTATTTAAAAAATGACCAAATTTGTAAGGTGAGACTTTGTTTAATATGTTTAATATCAAAAGTAACCTGGTCTGTCCTGTCTGTCAGCGTGTTGTCAGTCTCCTCTCTGCTCTGCGATGTGTTTTTAACTGTGTGAGAACATGAGAGTGGCATAGCTTGTTGGTACATGGCGACAGTAACTAAGGGGGCGGGTCTTTTGGAACAGTCAACTGTAACGTGTTTTAATATTCAAAGGATCAGACCTGTGTGAGGCGTCTGCTGAGGGGGAGGATAAAGAGGAGTGGAAAGGAGGTACAGAAATGTTGTGGCATTAATTTAATGTGCATTGAAAGGTTGCCTGTGCTTAATAACAAAATTAAGTTATAAATTAACTGTAGGTTAATTTGTTTTATACCCCTTATTTACTGATAAGATGCCAGTCCTATAATTCCAGTCTTTCCCACCCCACCAATCAAAATTTCAAAAAATGGTGAGTTGTTGCTTAGATGACCATGCACATTTTAACCAGATTCAAATTTTAAGTTATTTGTGATTGTACTAAACAAAGTCTGTCTTTGTTGTCAGTGGGCCGTGACAGATCAAATAGTGGTGAGTAGAGCTGTCAATCTTCCAATTTAATACCATTCAAATTTCATTTTTCTTTTAATATTCAAATATTTATTGCTCAAATGCAGCCTGTATTTCACTATTATGCATTGTTAACGCAGTAATGATACAATATCTAACAAGTGTATTGAAGCGGCTCTCTTGCAAAGGCTGGTGCTCAGTTAGCACAATTTAAGCATGTTCGAAAGCACAGCAGAAAAGATTTGTCATAAACTAACAATAGCGTTAAAAACTAGCAATAGTTGTTATCAAATAGTAACAAAAGAGCAGGAGAGAGTTCGGCAAACAAATGTTCAAAGATTTAATATTTTACAGAATAATTTACATAACCGAAATACAACCATTTATAAGTCATACCATTTAAGTGAGTTAACACCTTGTGTTTCTTGCTGATTGTGATGTTCCTGAGAATACAGCTATTACGTAATATATGAAGTCGAAGCTAACTGACAGCTGTAGGGCAGCTAACATTAACTTTAGCTGTCTCCATGAAGCTCACAGCTAAGCATAACAAGCATTTTGGCTCGGTGAATGACAATTTTAAAGTTAATGTTAAAGCTATTTCCCATCCTTACGAATCCCGCAGCCTGTCACTCCTCCTGTACTAACATTACTCGGTACATCTAAAGACCTCACATTGCCTTGTGTTTCTCACTCTCGCTAACTTGAATTGTTCATCAAACGTGACATGAGAAAAGCATTTTGTAATTTTAGGATTTAAATAGTACTGTTTTTTTTACTATTCAAATTATATTTGACTTTAAGAATTCGTTCCAACTGCCCTGCTGATGAGTTTACTTTTTATTGTTACAATACCAAATCAGCATGCAGGTAATCACTACTGTGATCACAAGATGTAAGAAATGAATGAAAATATCTAGTTGCAATTTTTTTGACTGATATTGCAATTGTGATATTGGAGGGAATGATAATTTTTGTATCATTACTCTCATTGTAAAATATTTAAAAGATTTTAAGGAGGAAGAGGATCTGTACCAAACAAAGATTTTCCCTTTACACTGTAGGATACGATTTGTAGGCCAGGATGTCTCTGCAGCATCACAATTCGTTCATATTGCCATTTTGATAAAAATGCGATTAATTGTGCAGCCCTACTACTGATCATGACTGACTGACATTTTTGCTCAGGTTCACCCAGGTCTGCGGGCAGCGACAGGTCAACCAGTGGTGAGTTTAACATTTCATTGCTAATATTGCAGGCAAGTCACTAGGACTATTGATCATGACTGACTGAAGGTTCTGCTCTACGTTGTTTAGGTTCACCCAGGTCTGCGGGCCGCGACAGGTCAACCAGTGGTGAGTTTATACATTTCATTGCTGAATATTGCAGGCAAGTCACTAGGACTATTGATCATGACTGACTGAAGGTTCTGCTCTACGTGTTTAGGTTCACCCAGGTCTGCGGGCCGCGACAGGTCAACCAGTGGTGAGTTTATACATTTCATTGCTGAATATTGCAGGCAAGTCACTAGGACTATTGATCATGACTGACTGAAGGTTCTGCTCTGCGTGTTTAGGTTCACCCAGGTCTGCGGGCCGCAACAGGTCAACCAGTGGTGAGTTTAACATTTCATTGTTAGATTATCAATCAGGATGCAGGCAACTAACACTATTGACTATTGGTTTGGGTTGCACAGGTTCGTCCAGGTCTAGGTCCGTGGGCCGGGACAGTTCAAGTGGTCGTGAGTATTGCCAGTTACATTTGGCTTGTCTTATTGAATATCAGATTAGCATGAGGAATACTATTGCTACTGGACTGACTAATGTTGGTGGTTTGGGTTTCTCAGGTGTACCCAGGTCCCAAGCCATGGAGAGCAGGTCCTTAGATGGTGAATGTCATTGGTTGTATCACTCAATGAGGCAGATTGCACATATGTTCTAAACATATTGATTGCTTCACACACTTTTTTCTTTCCTGCTTAGGTCTTTCGCATGCAAGGCCCATTTACAATAGGGCTGTGCCAACCACATTCCCCCTGTCAGAAGCGAGTAAGTACAAAAATATTTTCATGTGAAACCCAGACTAATATGTATTATAACATTGCATTCTCTTTGTAACTGTTTGGTAAATCAGACTTCAGGTTTTCATCTTGTTGCTTTGCCATTTATGACATTTGGTCTAGAACCATCTCTTAATAAAATTGTTCTTTAATAAAACTGATTTGTCAAATACAGGGTTAAGGTTTCCCTTTGAATAAAGTATTAAAGGTGGGGTAGGTAGAAATTTTCTAAAAATACTTTTTCCCAAATTTGTTTAAACTGTCTATATTTACCAATACATAATTAAAATGTAAGTACTCTGAAAAAAGAAAAAAAAAGTATACAAATCGAGTGTCTGTAGTCCTCTCAGTGCTGCAATAAACACAGCTCATTATTTCATTCACCCCCACCCCTCCCGTCTGGGATCCTAACAAAGCCACGCCCCCAAAACACAGGAACGCGCGCTGCCGACCGCGCTCAGCTAGAGGACGCGTTTACCAGCGCCGCGGAGAGGAGCAGTGCATGACATCATGTCAGAATCACATGTAATTAAATGCCTAACTTTATCATTATTAATATAAACAACTAACATGGCTGGTAGTACTCACTATCAAGCTAGCATATCGATACTGGTAATGGTGAAGTTTAAAATATATTGAGTTTGATTCAGTAACGAGCTAGTAACGTAAAAACTAAAAAAAGGTTGCATTGATACACGTTTTCACGTTACCATCAGTTACACTGTGATGAAGGTGAATTTCGTGTAAGATTCATAACATATATGGTGTTTTACATGTAAAAGCTTCCACGAAAGCAATGTCAGTTGTCGCCACGGCTGGAAAGCCCCGCCGATATTGACTCTCGTCTGACTTCTTGCTTTATCCAAAGACTTTTGGGTCATAGCCTTTTCAAATACTGTTTTCCTTTTTTGCCCGGTTTTCCTTCGCTGACTGTATATGCAGGTAACTGGGAATTTTGACTGCTCTTGCTCTGCCATAATTGTGATTCTTCCAAGCTTCAGTGCCTCTTCCAATCCTTGAGCAAACGTGTGCGGGCATGTGGGCAGCTCTTACGCAGCAGTGCTGGTACCCATGGTAGCGAGGCAGAGTAACAGCCGCTGAGCCTATCACTTCTTTCGTCCCGGTTGGAAATAATGAGCTGTGTTTATTACAGCACTGAGAGGACTACAGACACTCGATTTGTATACTTTCTTTTTCAGAGTACTTACATTTTAAGTATGTATTGGTATATATAGACAGTTTAAACAAATTTGGGAAAAAGTTTTATAGAAAATTTCTACCTACCCCACCTTTAAGTAACTAATTGAATAGTCATTCATTTTTCTGGGATTGCTAGAGAGCACTCTTTTACTGAAAGGCTGAAATGCCTTGCTGTTACCAGAGAACCATGATTATAGTGAGTAATCATTTTTTTCTTAATTTCTCATTATTGCCAGAATTCCAGAAAATAGTGGTAACAAAGCTGGTGACTCTCACTGATGAGGTCAAAAAACTCCAGAGGACCTTACCTAACTCTGGGATTGATATAAGCAAGATCGACACCTTGGAAGAGTTCGAGAGGGAGGAGGCTTCTTTTCTGGAGAAAAACAAATTTGAAACCTTGGTAAAATATTTTTCAACCTCTTCCAATAGGGGGTTTATGCGGTGCGCTAGCGTTCTAACCGACAAACAGGTCTAATCATTTCCGCTTTTCACTTCAGTACACATCTGCAGCGTAGGTGATCTCTTAGGTAACTTAAGTTTAGTTTATTATAATACAATTTTTCTTTCTGATCAAACTTTAGTGTACTTAGAGAGTAGAGTTTTTGTTGTGTGCCAAGCTGCGAGTCAGTCAGGGTGATTCGGGTCCGAAAGATTAGGCGTGTTAATTGCGTTATAAGGAGACACACCACTGACTGCAGTCGGCATTTTGTGCCAGAAGATATATGAAACACAGTAATACAGCTCATATTGATACATTTCAATATCGTTCTAGCAAATTCTATCTGAATTTTGTATTTTACCTGCTGATACAATGTGTTGGAAAGTATGTGATATTAGAGTTAAACAAATCATTCAATTATCTCAAGACTAGACACATAATTTTCAAAATTGACAGTTTTTCAAGGCAGCAAACAATTGGACCACACTGGTTGAACTTTTTTCTCTATCCGTACAATGTTCTCAATTTTTTACCCTTGATATATTTGCAGGTTTGTCAGCTGGAAAGAGTCGGGGGGAAAGATGTAAAGGACTGCACGCACAAAGTGATGGACAGGTATTTATTTACACATTAACTTTAACAGACACAGGTCTTTAGACATCTGACCAGAACAGTTTTTCATGTTAGTTCAGCTCTGCTTTGGTTTTCTTGTGTCCCCATTTTTTTTTTCCTTTGGTGCTTCATTTGGGGGTTTGGTTTAGTTGATGTTTTAAGTAAGGAGCAGGACTGTGTACTTGGGCACAGTGAACGCACAGTAAGGCTGACGATTTTTTGTCATTTATTTTGAATTCCTGCCGAAAAAACGCAGCCTGCGGTCACCATGCTACGTGTGTGTGTGTGTGTGTGTGTGTGTAAGTAATAATTGCATATTAATTTTGTCTTGTATTGGATTTAGGCTCTTCACCAATCAGCTGATGACCTTTTTTAATATGAAGGGGAAGGGCAAAAAGGATAAAATTGGAATTGAAGACAAGAAATTGTTTTCAGCAATAAAAGGTAAGCTTCATATTATGGCAATTTAAAAAAAAGTGTGTATAATATGTATATGTATGTGTGTGTGGAATGTTGAATATCAGGCTTGATGTAACTTGACTTGATTTAATAACTATTTCATTTAATCAAGTACTCAAATTTTCATCTATGTATACTATGTATCTGTGCTGCAAGATAGACCACAACAGTGGCGTTTGTTATTTATTTTTCATGTGCATGTTTTTGCTTTGATTTTAGCTGCTGTCATGAAATGGGACCCAGCTGCTACAGAGGCCCAAATAAAGTCTGCTGCAGCCGATCATTTGAAACATGCTCCCGGGAGAGTCGGGGGTGGTGGCTACAAATAAATATATTGTGGACCTAATAGCAGCCATAGTTTGTTAATTGTTTACTGTTTTAACAACATTTTATAGTACTTTTATTTATAACTTTACTGTTCTGGCAGTAATACAGTTTTATTGTGTTAATTTATACTTTAATGTTCTGGTTTTAAGTTTGGGTAAAATTAGTAATAAAAATATGTTTTGAGATTTAAATCATTGATTTCTTCAAGTGATCAGTTTGGTTTACAGGAAAATACTAGGCAGTTTATTAAAATTATATTGATAAGATGCAGTTTCATGACACGACAACCATTAAGTAACTGGGTTTTTCTCAGAACTAACTCTGCAACTATTTTGAAGTAAACATTTTTTAAAGTTAGATCCTACCAAATATTCACAGATGGGATTTTCATGTCAGTATGGGTCTTAACAGTCTTTGGCATTTCTACTAAAGAAAACGTGTCTAATATTTATTCTGCCTTTAGATGGCTCCTGTGAGGACGTCTTCTGGATGTCTCACAATTACGTCTGTAGTACGTCTTTAATTGACGTCTAAACAATGTCCAGAAAAGACGTATAAAAAACTTTCATTCTGGCTCCTGTGAGGACGTCTTCTGGATGTCTAACAATTACATCTGTAACACGTCTTTAATTGACGTCTAAACAACATCCTGAAAAGACGTATAAAAAACTTTCATTCTGGCTCCTGTGAGGACGTCTTCTGGATGTCTAACAATTACGTCTGTAGCACGTCTTTAATTGACGTCTAAACAACATCCTGAAAAGACGTATAAAAACCTTTCATTCTGGCTCCTGTGAGGACGTCTTCTGGATGTCTAACAATTACGTCTGTAGTACGTCTTTAATTGACGTCTAAACAATGTCCAGAAAAGACGTATAAAAAACTTTCATTCTGGCTCCTGTGAGGACGTCTTCTGGATGTCTAACAATTACATCTGTAGCACGTCTTTAATTGACGTCTAAACAACATCCTGAAAAGACGTATAAAAAACTTTCATTCTGGCTCCTGTGAGGACGTCTTCTGGATGTCTAACAATTACGTCTGTAGCACGTCTTTAATTGACGTCTAAACAACATCCTGAAAAGACGTATAAAAAACTTTCATTCTGGCTCCTGTGAGGACGTCTTCTGGATGTCTAACAATTACGTCTTTCAGACGTATTCTAGACGACTTCTTGCTCGCTGGGAGCACTTTAGCCCGTTTCGAACACAGCCTCTAATTCCAAGAACCCAATCTTTCATTCCACAAACCCTATCCTGATTTCAAGAATACAATCTGTCATACCAAAAACTGCATCCTAATTCTAATAAAACAAATGTGACCTGATTCCAAGAACACAATCTATCATACCACATACTGAATCTAATTCCAAGAACTAAATCTATTATACCACAAACTTCCAGTGACCTGTTGGACTTTGGAGTCAAATTTAACTCACTTTCTGTTGTTTTACACAGATCAGTCACATGGCAGAGTGTTTCACCAGATTTCTTCTTTACAACAAAAAATACCAATTTGATATACCCATATTTCACTGAACAGGACTCTCTTGCTTCTCAAGCCTAAGCGAGTGTGTAAAGCTCCTTTTGTGGACTTTATGAGCTAACAGCCACCTAATAAGTTCTAAATGGAGTTTTAATACCAAAATACAACTGTATGATGGGTGTGGCACGCTGATTTGAGCTGTTGTGATTTGGGGCCCCTATGTGGCCCCTGAAAGAAACTAGCTTGGGAAAGGCGGCAGAAGGTTGAGATTCAATATTCTTGATGGTGTTGTCTCTGTAAGTTTTCTCGGTAAGTTTGAAGCCATTTGGAGCTCAACTCAGAGATTTCTACATGAAAGCCTCTAAAAGGTAGAAGCAGGCTGTTTTAGCCTGTACACACTGAGTTGATGGCTTCCAGTGACCTGTTGTGCTTTGGAGTCAAATTTAACTCACTTTCTGTTGTTTTACACAGATCAGTCACAGGGCAGAGTGTTTCACCAGATCTCACCTTTACAACAAAAAATATCAAAATAATACACCCGTATTTCACTGAACAGGACTCATGTAGAGATTTCTACATGAATGCCTCTAAAAGGTAGAAGCAGGCTGTTTTAGCCTGTACACGCTGAGTTGATGGCTTCCAGAGACCTTTTGGAGTCAAATTTAACTCACTTTCTGTTGTTTTACACAGATCAGTCACAGGACAGAGTGTTTCACCAGATTTCATCTTTACAACAAAAAATACCAATTTGATACACCCATATTTCACTGAACAGGACTCTTTTGCTTCTCAAGCCGAAGCGAGTGTGTAAAGCTCCTTTTGTGGCTCCACTTCCTGCCATCCAAGTGGAGTCCTAATTTTCTGTCTCACACACACACACACACACACACACAAGAAAAAAAACACTGTTAAAGACATCAAAATGAAATTTACAGCCCCCACCACCAAATACAGACGCTTTGTAATTCGTTCTGAAATATTGGTATTTGATGCCTTGAGATCAGGAAAGGGTTCTATACACACAAGTTCAATAAAGATTGTTTGCTATTACAAATAATGTCTGTAGTCTGTTACTTGGACGGGGAATAGAAAAAGGTAATAAACTGCAGCGACCTAAAGGATAAAGGCATAGGAGTCACAATATATGCTACAGGAAACTTGAATAGCATCTTTTAACCAGAAACTGAGTGCTAAACTTACAAAGACTTTTTTTGTGAACCATGTAAAAATTCTGAAAGGAAAGTTATGTTTCGGGGGTTTGCTTCCACCATTCTTTCAGGAGACAGAATGTTTCAAATTCACACAAAGCTGTTTTTATAAAGAATTTAATGCATTTTTTTTATGTGTCTAAACAATCTTCCTGTTCAGGTAGAATGCTTTTAGTTTTACAGATGTAGTATGTTAGAATCCAAAGATGAAATCGTATTTTTTAATTTGACTCCAAGAATGAAATCCAATTGTCTAAATCTTCTAAACATAGAATCTAATTTTTCACAAAGTGTACCCGATTCTCTATACAGAATTCAAGAATGGGAACACAATGTCTAATGTTGAGTAGCTCCTTTGAAAGACATCTAAAATATTTTTTTCAGCCAAATAAATGCATGCAATGCAAAAAACTGTATGCTGTATACATTTTCTGTGTGGAGACATTTAGTATTCCTCAGTCAGTCAGGTTGTTTTAGTCCAAAATAGAGTTTACAGAATGTCTTGTCTAATCCCAGGCATACAATGTGTCCCATACACACACCAAACAACACAACAGTGTTGTTAAAGGCATCTTAAAGGTATTGACAGCCCACCCCAAAGCCACTTATCCCAAATCTAGCATCACAAGGGTGTGTGCCTAACCTTAAGGGCCAGTGTTTGTAGACATGTCCAAAACAATCTCATCTCAGTGCAACACAGTTTCACTCCCGATTCGTTACATGTTGACGCTTTGGTCAAAGCCCTGTGGTGTTCAAGTGAGCACCGCTTACCAACAACAATATACAATATACAACTTCCGGTACAGTTAGACTGTCTAAATTGTCTGAAGCTACTGAACATTAGAAACTGCACTCAAGATTAGATTCTGTACTAAACATTAGAAACTATATTTCTGTTACATGTGAGTGAAATACAGTCACTGCAAAATGGAAATTAGAGACTGTGGTTGCCACATCTTTACAGAGGCCTGCACATATACATTAATCTCAGAATTCTGACTTTTTTCTCAGAATTCTGACTTTAATCTCAGAATTTAAAAAATCTAATCCTAGATCCTAATCCTCTTGCACATACTACATACTGTATCTAATTCCA